TTATCGGCCAAGAGGGTCAAGAGAGACTGAAAACAAACTGACAACATAAGGTGCTGCTACCTGCTCTTTGCAACCTCCCCCCAATCATGTCCTGTTTCCCAGCAATAATGTAAAGTACGGATGCCTGGTTGCAACAAACTGTACAGAATGCAGCCTAATGACACTTGTGAGTAAATTAGTCAAACCAGTAGAACTGCTAATGTTACACAAAGCTAGAGTTACACTGAAATGAAAATCATATTAAATGCAAAGATAAAATCATGACGGTGCTAGGTTGCTAATTTTAGCAAAACAAACATGTTAGCTTTAGATGCTAACACATCCAGAAGGAAAAAACACCACATCTGAATCAAATCTGAGTCCTTTGGCTGCTTTTAACATTCTCCATGTCAAAAACCCAAAGCAATGTTAACCCTGGTTTTTTGCTCTTTCTTTGTCCCACTCTCTCTAGATACCACCATGCCCTGGGAGGGTCCCATTTGTCATCTCGCCATGGTCACCATGGTGATATGAAGCCAGTCTGAAACATTGACACTCACACGAACAGGTTCACACACAGACTGTCAGTTGTTGACTGATACAGCCAGCCAGCTCGACAGGCAGGTGTATGTAATGGACAGGTGTAAGCATGTGGGGCGGCCGGGGGCGGGCCCCCACACCCCCCCTTCAGCTTTCTCACCTCCCTACTCTGTCTGTGGCTCCAAGACCACTGGTTCCTACTGAAGATGTAAAAATACCTCACCAATCCACTACCTGGCCACGTTAATAGTCACACCTGTACAACTGTATACAGTTCAGTGCAACAATTCCACCTTAACATCAACATGCCTCTATATTTGTGTCCTGCCCTGCTACATACACAAGAGGCTCAGACTAGTAGGAACACCTCTAAATATAATGTAGTCCAGTACAACACCACCTTTAACTATGACCTCAATAATAAACATATAATTGAATGTATACATTTGTGACAATTTCACCTGAAAGAAGGTTTGTATTGAGGTTATGGAAGCACACTGCATTCACCAAATCAAAAACATAAAAAAGGGAGACCTTCTCTCTCAGTTTAACAATTGATCCCATTCTGCTGTTATTTTCATGGTCACTTTACAGCTGAAAACCTCCAGCACGAGCCACAGCCATGGCTCACCACCACTTTATCTCCAGCAGCCTAGTCAAAAACCAGTATTCTGATTATTTTCTCTCTCAGTACTTACTTTACTTTAATTTATAATAAAAGCACTTGTGATTTTCCTGAATCAATAATTTGCATTCAGGGTCCAGCTTCTCTCTCTCATTACTCGGCGAGAGAGAAGCTGGACCATAATGACCATTAGGTACATTATCCTAAATTTTCTCACTCTGGTATTTGAAGCTGTAATTAGCGTATTTCCTACCTAACAAACATTCCTTTAAGCTTTGTAATTAAATGCCATCGGACAAAGCCACAGTTGCAACAAAAACTCTTCAGGGTTAACAACTCAGACTGCATCTGTTATGGCTGTTCCTGAATAACTTCATTTTGTGAAGTTGAGTAAAGACAACAACTTAACATCAAATTGGTAACATTTTATTTCCCAAATCTGTCATACAACTGACTTATGGGGAAAAATAGGTCTTAATGGTAACAAATGAAAGTCACATTTTATAAAATAATGTCAAAACAAATCTGCATATTAAAATAACATGCACAATACAACATGCATCAAAAACATGGGAACATTAAAATGGAAAAAAAGGACAGCTGAATAAAAAAAATCAATTTCCACAAGAGGAACCGCCGTCACGTTCTCCTTCAGTAGAACATCTTGGCTGAGAGGACAAAAGTTCTAGTCACTAATTTGTACATGTGTTAATATGCCATGTAGATGTGATGTACTGTATACTGTACAGTATTACAAGAGAAAATTGTGAGTAATCTGAATATGCCCTTGTTATTGTGATAGATTGAATGGTTTTTGAAGGAACCGGCACATTCCAGAGAGAGTGCTGCCTCACTTGCCAACAGACTCCCATTGTAAAATCGGGTCTGAAAATCTTCTGAAGCAAAAGTTATGGCTATTTGTACATCTCCACTGTTCCTTCATCTTATGGAATATCCTCATAAAGGGGATCAATCCGTTTGTTGAAGCCTCCTGTTGATTTTGTGAAGCCCATGTTTCACTAATGAAATGCATTTGTTTAGTAGTGTATTTGAGAACAAACCCCACAAACCTCCATTTAGTTGGCGACGAATCTCCTGGCATTCCCGGATTTGTTCCGCGACGTCTCTGGCGATGGCGTCAAAGCCGTCGCGGAGTTGAATCGCCTCCCTCGTCATTTCCATTGTTACGTTTCTTCCATTGTTCCTGTCCCCTGCCCCGGCCATCCGGTGGCCAGCTCTCCAAAACCTCTGGCCACCTCTTCCAACCCTCTGACCACCTCCTCACTCCTGCTGGCCGCATCGTTAATTGTATCCATTTTCTCTTGCTTTTTTCTTTCGGAAAGCTGTGTAAAAGAAAGTATTGTAATGACCCCCGGCGTGGAGGAGAGAGACTACCTATACTTTGAGCAGCTAAACTAGCTAGCAGGGCGCTAGCACCTATGCTGTCAATTAGTGCCTACTCCAGGTCCCATACACCGCACGACTCTGGATAGCGCTTAGGCGTGTCCTTCACAATGACCACCATGCAACTTTGTCTTTCTAGTCATTTATTTAGAACACAGAACCGCTACACACATCACATTCCCAACAGGGTCAGTTTTACACATACGGCTTAGACTTACGGTTCAACAACACAGCACTCAACCAGCTAGCAAAACATTAACACATACAAGTCATCAAGATAAACACAACAGGGTAACACATTAGAACATTTTAACACACTTTAACAACTGTTCGCGGAACTCATCATTGAACTCCCATGATGCCCCCCATGCA